CAGTACCGTATGTTTCCCACTCATACGATAACCATTCTTATGGGAAGCCATTTAAATGTTACGGCATGTCGTACCGTGTACGTGCTGTAAGTCAGAACCGTATGTTTCCCACTCATACGATAACCATTCTTATGGTAAACCTTTTCACTGTCACGGCTTGTCGTACGTACCTGATGTAAGCATGTTCATTCCTATGGAAAGCCATTTGAGTTTTACGTCATGACATACCGTTTATGTGCTGTAAGTCAGTACCAAATGTCAAAACATGACAACAATCTCCGTAAATCTTCTTGTTTTATTCAAAAATTTCAGTTGGTTCAGATCGAGAAAGAAGAAATCTTACAGTTCGAATCTCATCTTGCTGCTGCCACAACGGGTGTGGCTATCACAGAACAAAACAGTTTGTTGTTAAGTCAGCTGATATCTATGGACCCTGTGTAAGTACCTCTAAGAAAAAAAAAGGATTTAAAACTAGTTTGAATAGATATGCTACACTGTTCGTATACATTTTCATGGAGCAATTTTCGTATGACTGTGAAAAGCTCACGGCACCAACACGGTTGTGACACGACAAGGCATACGCCAGCCCGATCACATCGCGCGAAAATTTACTCTTCGACCAATCAGATGTCTAGAACACGGCATAAAAAAGGCGCGTACACGGTAACGCAAAGTCACATTGCGCGACAAAACAATCAGCTAATTAAAATTCTAGAAGACTTCACTGTCACGGGCAAGGCACATGTACGGCACTGAGCTTTTCACTGTTATACGAAAACTGATACGAGAAATTTACTGACTACACAATATACTCAAATGACGACAATTTTTGGTCCCCTCAATGAAGTAAGAGTCAAACATTTCAAGTATTATAACACTCATATTACTGTTTTTTTTAATGATTCTATAATTATTACTTTATCATCAGGGGCCCTGCCAGGCGTCCTCCACAGTCGTTTCTGGACGAGCTCAAGAAAACCAACAAGGCCCTCAAACTTGGTCAAAAGCTGTGCCGCAATCGATCACCAGATTTCTTACTGGACATCATCCAGAGACAAGGCACGTCACAGAGCATGCCGTGGCTAGCTGAACTGGTCCAGTCATCTGAAGGGTCTTTAGACGTCCTGCCTGTTCAGTGTCTGTGTGAGTTCTTATTGATGGAGCAACCAGCTGCAGATAACCTGGATCAACCCGTCTCCACTAAGGAAGGCCAGGAAAAGAAGATGGTAAAATAACGAATTTACGAATTCTAGATCAAAAAAAAAAAAAAAAAAAAAGTGGTAGACCCTTTCCAATTTCAGTTTCATTCTCTTGAGTATTATTTTTTGCTTGACGGTTGTGCATGAGAAGACACATGAATATGGATTTCATTTCAGACCACGTGTCAATCCCTAGAATATTATTTCTTTTTTAATGGTTTTGCATGAGAAGATATTTGAATACGGATACAATTCAAACGAAGAATCTTATTCTCAAGAGAATGACACGTGGTCTGAAATGGGAAAACAATGTGCCCAAGGTAAAGAGGTCACTTCCTATAAACCATTTTACAAGTTTCCCATTTCAGACCACGTGTCATTCCCTGGAGCATCGCTACTTTGTTTAACGGTTGCGCATGAGAAGACACATGAATATGGATTCGACTCAAACAAATAATCTAATATTCTCTAGATAGCGATACGTGGTCTGAAATATGGGTACAACTTTAATAAACCCCTTCGCAGCACGTAGCAATAGGTTTGCAATAGTCTCAGCATATTAAATTTCCTCCAAATTAAGCTCCTTTGACGACACATGCAAGTGGTCTATTAAACGAGAATTTTGTTCTCCGAGGAATGACACGTGGTCTGAATAGGAAAACATTGCGCTAAAGAGATCTGTTTGTTTTCGATTACAGAATAACCAAAAGCACGTGTTGTCACGCCTTCGTTGGCTGTTGACAGGACCTTCAGCAGATGCTGATTCTACAGTCGAAGTGATTGAGTACTTCATGCGACGATTATCATCAAGTATAACCAAAGAAAGAAACGCTGCAGCCAAGGGCCTTGAATTGGTCCTTTCACAAAGCACCGCATCAAAAGAGGACGAAGTCTCATTGGTCAGTTTCTCCGATGACGTTTCCATGTTGGCGATGTTCGAGGAGATGTCCTTCCCAGAAAGCACTTCGGCAAGCACATTGAAGAGCTCGTTGAAGTGGCTGCTTGTTAACTTACCGAGGTTACCCCACTTTGAAACGGTCAGACCAATTTGTTGTTTTGCACTAAGACAGTGCTGTCAAGTAGAAATCGTCCTTCAGCGACTTCAAGCGTACTTGGTGTTTCTTTCGGAGCACACAGGAAGCCCAGCTGACAGTGATTTTGCCGACGCGTTGCTGGAGATCTCTCAGTTGGTCATCGAGAGGCCTACTATTTTTCACCAAATGCTCGGAGATTCGCCTGCTGCGGAAGAGACATTCCAAGCTTTACTGAGAATGTATGAACGAGCTGTACAACACGCTATTGAAGCTCAAGAGAGTTCTTTCTTTGAAGTAAGTATGAACAAATACACTTGATTTGTCTTGTTGTAAAACAAGACTACAACATTCATTCTTCACCACTGTAAGTCTTAGGGGTCGCGTATTCGATTCTTCTACCGCCTCTTTTTCTTTTACTCCGACGAAGGACTAGCGTCCGAAACGTCAGTAAGTTTATTCACCTTTTCACGGTGTATAATTTACCCTTTTATCATTACTGTTTCATTAGAAACACCGACGCAGCTCACACTAGTTTTTAGCTAGTTATCTCTTCTTATTCGATTCTTATATACTCGCCATATTTGAATAGAATTTGTTTGATACAGCCCATTTAAAAGTGGGAAAGACTAAATAATACACTATAGTATTAAGCAGAGGATTTAGTTGTCAACCATTCTTTGAAGTCAAGTTTTCAATCTTAAAAAATAATTGTTTTGCTCTTCTTTCTCTCTTCCTACAAAGGTTTTCTCCGGACGGGTACTCTCAATTTCCCTCCTCGTGAGATTTCTTTTTCTTTTTTATTTCTTATCATATTTTTTTTCGTTTATTTGTTCATCATTGATAAAGGACGCGAGAGCAGTTTTCGACAAGTCCGCCATATTGGTTTGTTTGTCACCAGAAAATTCGTTGTCATTACGTCACACTTCGGTACTCTATTACGCTGCGTTCATAATATATAGCAGTGGGGGTGCGGGGTGGGGGCAGGTGAAAATTTGAAATGTCCGGAATAATTCTTAACACCCTCCCTTAAAGTCATGCAAAAAAAAAAACGATCCCCCTAAGCAAGGCTTGTAGCTTCTTCCAAAAATTGTGCATCCCCCCTTTTTTCTGATAAAATTTACCCATCCCCCCCTTTTTCCTACCAAAAT